CGCGCCCCCCCAGCGGCTGCCAGCCGGGCAGCCCTGGGGGCACAACGCAAGAATCCGTTTCCCCCCGCCTCGGACTTCCCCAGTTTTACTGAATGATAAAATAGGGGGGGAAACAGACTTTTTTGTGTCAAGCATGGCATTTAAAACTGGTGACTCCTCCCCACGCTCACGGATGAACACTGAGAAGGGGCCGTGGCGGCTGTTTCCGATCGTTTTCCGAACTCGAGGTGCTCCAAAAGGGGTAGTTTTGAGTCCGCACAGGGAGAAAATTCCCAACCTCTCCAAATCACAAGGCTTTTGAACAGCAGTGCAGGGCCAAACCCAGCTTTCTGTTGTATAAGCTGTACCCAGAAGAACTCGAGTAACCCCAAGCTAAAACTGGAACAAACTGCACCAGCAACCTCAAACTAAATTAGTCTGCCATAACCAGTAAACTAATCTCAAATACAATTCTAAGTCAGAAAGGGAACTATGACATTTCAGTTTACACTGGTTCTTATTTCTGTTTTTAATTACACTGGCCTCTTCTGAGCATCCATTTCAAAAATAAATACGCTCCCAAAGTCACTTCTTTAAATTAAGGGTTATTCTACACTTTGGACTTGAGATTAGAAGAAAACTGCTATTTTTAATTGTGCTTCACGAGGCTCGGAAGCAACAAAGTGATTCGAGAGCCTCACTTCAAAAAGAAAAGCAGACGCTCGTGCATAAAGCGGGAAACAGCAGCAAAGCCAGGCAGGGCAGTAGCCAAGTCTGCTACGGCCTTTCGAGAAAACCCCAGGTGACGGTGGGTTTAAAAACACTTCAGAGGGCTCCCATTTCCTTTTTCCTACAAAGTAAGACTTTTTGTTGGTTTCTCAGCCAGCCCCGTTGCCAGCATGAACGAGGGATTACTGATGCGCGTTTAGCTTTTCATGGGAACCACTGCAGTTAGTTCCACCTGACTCCAGCCACAATCAGCAGAGCCTCCTAAATCCCTCCGTTATATCGTCTCTCTTAGGGGCTTTAATTACACCTTCCATTGCACCAGCTGCCTTGGGGCTACCTGGGCAGGTGTTCCCACCACACAACCCATCGCCAGACTGCGGAGCTGCCAGTCCACTTCAGGTGCTTCGATCATGTTGATTTGAGTACGTGAAAGATCTAATAATTGCAGGAAACACCATTAAAGAACAACCCATCCTTTGACTGAGAAAGACAGGGAATCAATACGAGGCGTATGTTAATAAAATCTCACTGGGATCTTGCAAACCTCATTTCTTAGAAGCGCACATAATGTTGTTGCAAAAATTACTACCACCGCTACGGTCGATTGACTTATTTCGTACTTTTTAGGTTACAAAATCTTGGTCTTGAAGGCTACCGCTTATGTTATGCAATTTATGCGGATTAAAAGTTTCCCACATGAGAATAACGACTGATGTTGGTCTCCAACGTCTAAGTCTTGAGTTTGGTGATGAACTCCCCTCGGCAGCCATGACCCTCCTGCTCGGGGCAGTGACAAAAATCCCCCTCTCCAACCCCAACTCGCAGCCCAGGCAGAGATTAAAAGAAATAAACAGCTCATCGATAGCTCCGGTTTCTCTGTGCCTGTCCTGATCCAACACATGACAGATACAATCGTGAAGAAAGCCTTGGAGTGTTTTTCTCATGGTGACAGCTTCTCTCAGATAATTATAAGCAGATTTAGAAGGTAACTGAGTCAAAAATCTAACTGCAATGCAGCAAAATATGGAGAGATAAAAATCGGGAAAACACTTGGAAATTACAAGTTTTAACCTGCAGGCAGGGTCATAACTGGGTCCAAAAGAAAGTTTCAAATCAAGTTGTGACAGATTGGAGGTAGAGTCATGCCAGCAAACCCTGAAATAGTTTTGCCTGAGGCTGCTCCAAAATCTCATGGTCCTAAATCTGCTCGCAGGGCGCTTGGTCATTTTAATGAGAACATTAACCGGCTCACACTGAATATATAATTTGCCTTCATAACAACCTGGGAAAGAACTAACAAGCTGCTCAACAGCCATGCGTTTTCGGTGTCAGGCAATATAAACACAGACTTGGAGTTAAGGTCAAGAACAAAAGTATCTAAACAAGAGACTAATTCCGTCGTTCCCTCCGCTGCCCAGTCATCCTGCAAACATTCCTCCGCCGTCGCCTGTCAGTGTGATCCCTCGCCACGCACAAAAATCGTTCCTCTCTCTCACATGACATTCGCCTGCGAGCAAACAAGTAAAACCACCTCATCCTACGTTTTAAGCCTTTTTTTTCCTTTTGTCCTGCTCTGGAAGGATGCCTGTCTCCGTGCTGCTCTGCGAGGTGGAAGGAACAAAGCTTTTCGGGGTGTCTGTGCCCACTGAACACACTTACCTGCTCTCCCGAGACAGCGCTTTCCCAGAAGTGCTCATCTCTACAGTATTAAACTGCTCAGACTGACAGGAGTGAAGTGAGAACAAAATAATTCTCCTGGAACAAACCCTCCATGACTCAAGGCCCTGTCCTGGCATCACTGCAGTTAACGGGATTTTTTTTTTTCCTCCTATTAACTTGGTGGAAACAAACCAGTTCCTGCCCAGCCAAGAGAAGGAGGAGCGATATGGAAACAACAAACCGGGAGAGCTTTCCTGCACTCACCATGCCTCTCCTCCTCTATTTTGGCCATCAATGCCATCTCTGACCCCTCGAAAGCTACAGGAAGAAGTGAGATCAGTCCCCAAGGAAAAAGGGATTTGGGAAAGATGAATGTAGGAGTTGACAAAAAAAGACAACTTCAGACACCTTGACTAAGAGAGAAGGGACCTGAGCATCTGTCTCGACGCTGAAGAGCTCCTCTGGGTATTTCTGCCATCCTAAGAACCACTGGCCAGGAGTTTTGTGAGCCAGAGCTATTCCTGATTTTCATTCTTCTTAATTAAGTGGTTCCTTACAAAGTTCAAGTCATGCAACAGAAGCACTACAAAGATTCCTAAAGGTCTGGCTTTCACGGGGCGAGTAAAACCAACATCAAGCAATGCAACGATAACAGATAACCACGAGCATCACACAGGAAACGTACAACTTGGCAAGCCATCCGAGAGTGAAAAATAGGATTTTCTCAGGGATGGGAATACCCGATCCTCGCTGACATCTTCAGCTCGGGCAACTTCATCCATGGCCCAGTTTGGGAAACATCGCGGCTCGAAAAGGCAAGTGAATCTCACCGATACCTGGCAAGGATCTCTACAGGTTCTCCTTTCGTAGGGCAACGGCATTAAGCGAGGTGGTTAATGAGTGCGGCGACACCGGTCAAGAATTAGAAGCGTTACTCTGCGTTGCAGGCAGCTTGTTAGCGGGGTTATGCACGTGCTAGTATCTACTAACGGGGCTGGTTTCCGAAGCCTTCGCTGTGAGTTAGTGGGTGAATCGCTTCCAACCACCCGCCTCCCCCAGGCAATTAGTTTAGGGTGATAACGAAGGGGCAGGGTACTGTACCTGGTGATGGGCAGGTCGAGGCCCCGCTGCAAACTGAGGAAAGGCGGGAGAAACAAACACAAAAGGAAAGGCACAAAGAGTCAGAAACACCACAACGAAACCAAAATGTCACACTCTATGCAAAATGAACCCACAAGAAAAAAAAACCACAACAAAACAAATGAAAAGAAAACAACAACAACTGAAAACAAAACCACAGAACAGTCAAAAGCTTTGCTGCAGGACAGTGACAGACAGGTACTGAGATATCACGACTGAACACCGCTCACGGGGGGAAGTGTGCGGCTCCAGAGCCGGGAGATCAACGGCCAAAGCTGCTCATTATTTTACAGGCACTCTAGGGTGTATGAATGCAGGTGCTCCTCATCCTGCCTGGGAACAACCGAAAAAACCCAACAACCAACAACATAAAACCAAAAAAAACCCAAACCAACTTAAACCAAAGCAGTAGCACAGAGCTGAAACTCTTGGAAGGTGGAGGCAAAATGGTTAAAAGCAGCTGGACTCTGAGCCGTTCCACATATTTGGTGGGAGCGGAGGGTGGAGACTCATGGCTGGAGAGCAGGGAAGAGCCAGGTAGGCACAGCTAGTGTCCTGCCGGCGAGGGGACCGCGGGGAGCTCCCTGCAAGGCAAAGAGCAGCAAATCTCTGCACGTACACACGGTGCAATTTCCTTTTCAGCTTCTTTGTTGTGATATAACCCTCACCCCCACCTGAAAGCGAAGGAGACGGGTTAAACTGTGGCGTCCCCAGGAGAGCTTGGATGGAGGTTCCCGGTTCCCAGCCCTGAGCTCAGGTTACTAAATCACTTCCCACCCACTCGGGTTACACACGGAGGAAAGGAATCAGAATTGAGCCTGCTCCGTAAACATTAAAAGCATTTTCTGATAAGTAACTGGTTGTTAAAATTGAAATAAAAATGAATGCAAGACATGGAAAATCGAAATAAAGATGACAAGGTATCCTCCTGCAGAAGCTGAGTTAGGCATTTACAGCAGAGCTCCACGATGAGAGCAGACAGATCAGTTCATAACAGCTCCGATAATTAAACGGAGCAAATGAAACCGGATCCTGTGGTGGCTTTTCACCCACCACACGCCTCTACCTGTTGCTGGTTGTGATGGCTCAGTAACCGAAAACACGTGCCAAAGCACCCGGTACGGTGCACCTCTGCTAAGTCACACTACGTGGACTCAGTAGAAAAGTGATCAAAACTGGCTACTAATGACTGATTTTCTTGATAAAAGATGTTTCAGTAAGAAAAAGTGGACCAGGGTTCCCTTGCAGCCCTACCTGCCAGCTATTTTAATGCCATCAAACACGAGAAACAAAGTATAAATATTCCCTGGCCCAGCTGATTTTCTCCTTTATAAACATTTTAATTGCCTATACTGAAGATTTCCAAGAACTAGTCTACTAATAACACTGGTGTTTATATATTCCTTCTACTTTCATCTCCTTGCGACACTCAGATGAGAAGTCATAAAAACCTTCAGAAAATGAGAAAACACGCACACACGGACTATTTCTAGCGCAAAAGTTCAGAAAGAATGAGCTGCACTGATTCACACATGGGAGAGCTTTCCCACCCTTGAAAACTTTCCCTGAGCCTTACATTAAAGGGCAAAAAGCAAAGCCACGATCATCTCGTAAGACTAAAGGAGCTACAATTTCTGTTTTCACAGCGACGGCAGGACAGATGCTCTCCAAGAGTCCCGGCATCCTCCCAGGGCTCGGGGTGCGAAGAGGACAGCGGCTCTGCCGATGGCTCCTACAGCGACGCAAAACGGGCGCCCGGATGCCTCTCGGGAGGTGAACGCGCTTCAAGTCCCTATTTTCCTAAAGGAAGAACTCCTCAAAAACAGTTCAAATGTCTCGTATTGGAGAAAAGGGGACACAGAGCTTACCCTGGAAGGGCTGATACAACCCTTTCCAGCGGGGCTACGCACTCCTCCATGTTAAACACCAACGAAAAAGCATTAATCAAGAAGAAAATGATGGGGTGAAAAAAAATTTGCATCGCTTAATTTCGGGGCCGAAGTATCTCTCTTATCACTGTTCCACAGGAAAGATTCATTCTCGCCGTGTTTAAAACAAGAGCTGGAAGCTTACATCTCAGCAAGCTGAAGTATGGTGAAAAGTAATATGTATTACAAGACAAAACAAAACGAGAGAAATAAAGCAAAACCTCAAAGTCAGTGAAAAATACCCTAATCTATTTTGCACTGGTCACCACTGGCTATTAATTTATTGTTTTAAAAAATTTTTTTAAAAATAATTCAGGTTGATCGGATTTATTCCTATGAGTAGCTGTAAGCAACAGAACAAACTGTAGTCACTGCTGGCTTGGATTAAAATAAGACACGTTGGGTTTGGTTTTTTCTCTGTCCGACGAAGGCAGCAGACAGAAAGGAAAACTTCTTTACGAAACCCGGGTCCAACATTTCAGCCACCCACACTCCTGCTGCTGCTGTCGAGCCTCAAGCCTCTCTGGATGGCTCCAACAATCCCCTCTGATCACACCTGGGGTTGGTTGGTGGGGGATTTTTTTGGCAGACCTCCTCGAACAGGACAGTTTGCGTTAAAATCACCTGGCGCTCGGGGCTGGCATCGGTAAGAGCTAACCAGATCATTTCCAGCAGCGCTGAGCGACTCTGATTTCCTTTGCTTTCCCCCAGCTGGAGCTGCCCTTTGAAACTCTCGCTAGCGGAGCGACACTACGATGCTAACGGGGGGAAAACGTGAAGCCGGCTGGATTGCAGAGGCAGCCGTCCTGGAAGGAACAGAAAAGCCTGAATCGTGCAATTGCCAACGGCCCTCGGATGCAGAAACGGGACGGAGGAAGCTCCGGCCGCTCAAGAAAGCGGCGTTAGGATCGACAGCCTGCCTGCCCCCCCAGCCGCACCGGCTGCAGGACCGATGGAACTGCGCTATGGAAGCCCAGGGATGGCGAAGACATCCTGCCGCCTTCCTCGTCCCCTCTTCACCCTCCCCTCCCCACAAAAAAAAATAAAAAAATAAAAAAGACAGCTAAAAAAAAGAAATTAAAAAGTACTACTTACAAAATAATACTAAAAATAGGAACTGGAGCCCAGAACAAAATGCAAGAGTAGTTCAGGACGGGGCTAGGCTTGCATTTGTTTCGGGGTGGGGAGGTGGGATGAGATGCAATGGGTGCGGCTTTTAGTAATGGGCGTGGAAATGGTCACTAGCAGAGCAGATGGCAATGACTGCACACAGGAGAGTTTGAAAAAAATACAGAGAAAAACGGCTGACAACTGCAGACAAAGTCTTCCTCGATGCCTCCTCAATAACGGGGCCAAAACCTTAGAATCTGACAAATCCTCCGGCCAAATTTCCTGCAGGCGTTATCTGTTGAGCAGCAAACCCAAAACCTGGCTCTGTCCTACGCCAGGGTCAGACCCTCCCAGCTGCGACTCGACTTTGGACCTTGCGTCGCCCACTTAACCCGGCAGAAACTGCCACGGGAGAGCTCATGCTTTTAGCAAAGAAGCAAAATCAGTGCGTTTCTGTAGATCAGCCAACAAAAAAAAGATGTGGTAAAAAAAAATAAAAATAAAAAATTAATAATAAGAAAGAAAGAAAGGAAGAAATAAAAACAGTGCCATCGGCACAATCGCCTGCAAGAAGGAGTACAGTTTGTTATATTGCTTACAATGCAGTATTTTATCCAGCCTCTTCCAGCCAGGGACCTGTAAACCGGACTCTGTTCCAAAACCTTCCTCCTCTTCCAGTTGTCTGTGCAATGTATTGGCACTGTTCTGCTGGGCTGTCAAAAAAACTGGTTTAGAGATGCAGCTCTTCAGTCAGGTTTTTGCTCCAGTTCTAACCATATCAAGTTATTTGCGCTTTTCAACAATTAATGATAAAGAAGATGATCATACTTACTGAGAAAAGAGGGGTTTACCATCGGTATCCTGCATTACCGATCGGGGGGGCGAAGGAGGTGGGGAGGGATCCGGTTACAAATCCGCATCACAGAAAAGTCATCAAAACTGGTGTTAATTGGTTCAACGAACTAACCCTCCTGGCAAAGCCCTTGGAGGCAAAAACCTCCAGCAGCAGGGAAAGCTGCCCTGTGAGCGTGTGTACATGTGGATATACCTGTTATATGGACAAACAGAAGACTTGTGTCTCGGAGGCTTTCGGTCGCCACAATTCAGCAGCGTTCATCTTACTCTAAAAAGAGAAGAGTGCTGGGAACGGTGCGGTGGTTTTACAGGGAACCTGGAAGTGTTACAACGCCGACATGGGTTTGCAAGAGGTGCAAGGATTGCTGCTTCCCTGGCCAGCTGAGGCTTGAGCCATGGTGAGGGGACGTTAGCGCGCCTCCAGAAGCATCTGACGCCCCAGCAGGGTCTCCTAGTGCCTACGAGCAGAGGTTCCCCAAAAAGAACCTGGTTTGGGGAACCAAAGTCCTACAGGAGCGGAGCGGCGTCACAGTACGCACACACGCAAAAAAATTACGGAGGACAAGCGAGCCTCAAGTTGGATGGAAAAGGGGCTTACCACAAAAAAGATCTGGGTACACAGAAGCTTCACGTTATGTTAAACACCTGAGCACCTCCAGGGTGCTGGGCAGTGAATGGTTAGAACTGAGCCAGCGGCACCGATTCGGAAGGAACTCCCAGAGGCCGCTGGAGACTGAGCACTGCTGTAGAGAATCGCTTTTGTTTACTGAACTCTGGTCTATCACTTCACCAAATACTTCCTTAAAGAAAAAAAAAAAAATGAAGAGAAAGATTCCAGTAATGAATCTAAACTCTAAAATGAAGTGAATCTGAAAGCCATGCTAAAAATAAATTGTGTTATTTGAGCGGAGATGAGAACCCCTCCATCGCTTCTCTTCTGACAAACAACTTTAAAAGGAACATTATCCTACCAGGACAATGTCTGAAAAATTCAATCAAGATTCGCCATTTGGAACGTGCTTCCAGTTCGGTAAAACACGCTTTCCAGAGAACCGGCCAAGGGCTGTAGACACACACGTACACACAGAGAAACGCACGAACGAGGAAGAAAGAACGTGAGATAATGCCAACGCGGGCTCCCTTACCGGCGAGCGGGTCTGAGGCTGGGTGTTCATTGTTTGAGGGGCTTGAGGGTACACCAACGTGGTTGGAGCTGCATTCTGTCCTGAGGGGTAAGGAGCCTGCCAGGGGACAAGAAAAGTAAATAATTAAACAAGCGTATCAAACGATTCATCCCAAAAAGGCGGGAACGCACACGTTATCCGACAGGCTGCTGATGGAGACAACGATGACGGAGGCGATGGCAACGGAGAAAGGTGCCTCCACTAAGGAGCCAACAGACTCGTCAACGCTATGCAAGGACTTTCCAAAAGCCTCCTCTGAACCGGTTTCCAATGAAAGCTGGAACTGTAGGTATCACCGAAAACCCCTCCAAAATAAGACAGACAAGAAGAAACAAGCTCGAACGCATTCAGTCCAAGGCACTGCTGCTGTAAAGCGTCTGCGACACATCGCAACGGCCGGCAATCGTTACAGATGTAAGGCAGACCACGAGCTGTGTAAATTTTTCATAGTTCCACTGATTTCAACAGGCTCTAACAATTTACACCACCAGATGCTCTCCCTCATGTTATTTGCCCAAGGTAACAATAAACCGGAGCTGGAAAGTTACACAGATTCCCCATTTTAACGAGACATTTAGAAAAAACTTCTTAAAGCACCTTTTTCCTTTTTTTTTTGAACAAGTGTAACTCACTTTAGGGGTTTTTTTTTAATAATAGTTGATTGTTGTAGTGGCATGAAACCCAGCCACTAGCCTGCGACAGCCTTGGCTTTTAAGAGGAATTAGCCCCAATTCTACGCGCCGCCCTGGAGCTCCTGCACAACTCCGTCACAGACCTCTTCTCCAGCTCCTCGGCTCTTCCCCCCTCACCATTTGTCCCCCGTGGTGCCAGGCCTGGATATCAGCGTTACTAACAGCAGCCCCAGCCCCTACTCACCTCCTGGCTATGAAAAATTTGATTTACTTGATGAATAAAGGGGTTTATCAGTTCTTGGGTCTCCTCTGGAGAAGGTCCAGGCTCTCTTTGCAGATTGTGTGAGAGGATCTGCTTAAAAACACGGCGCCACCTCTCTATACGCAGATTTACGATATATTCACACCACAAGAATCCCTCCTTGTCTTTGTATTTTGTGGCCCTTGCGTGAAAATTCAAGAGCAGGTCTAATGGAGAAAGAGAACCGTTACGGTTCGTAACGTGGTACTGAGAGAAACCGTCTCACTGCACCAGCCCTCAGGCACATTTCAGGGTATCTTGGATTTGAACTGTGCTCCACTGGATTTGAATAATTAAGTTCTCAAACAAGAAAACTGCGCTACAGTTGGTAAGCCAAACCAGTTGGCATTAAAGAAAGAGAAATGAAACTTAGGAAACTTCAGCTGTCGAAAGAGGCGATCCAGAACAAAGCCTGAAGCTCTGTTTTAGGAGCGATGTAAAACAAAACGTGCTGTTTCTGGAAAGAAACTGAGTCCTGAACACTGCAAAACTTCCAAATCTGAATTTAGCAAACTACGCCAAGTATAATCAGAATGTTCTGGCCTTCAAGGAAGAGCCAACCAGTCCATACAAGATGGAAGATGTATGCTCGTAAGGGAAAGAAAGCAATTTAGGAGCTTTTCTTACCAAATAAAGCTGACGTAACAGGATGTCGCTGCATGCCTTTCCTGCTCACCTCCCAGGCTGAGTCCCACAGCCGAGTCACGGAGCGTACCCACAGCTCAGCCTCTTCAGCCCTTCCAACATGAGCAAGAGTAGGATGGTTTTGGAGCAAAACCAGGTCTGATTTTGGAAGAGCACCCAGCACCTCTGATGGCTGAAAGGCATCTACCACCACCAGCGCACGCTGAGCAGCGTCCTGGACCTTGCAGAGCATCTAGGGGACAAGTTGGGGTCTCTGTGCTCTTCTTTTTTTCATCTTTTGCATCCTTAGACATAAAATCCCCACCTAATCTGCTGCGGATCGAAATGCAATGAAGGATAAATGAAAACACAGTTCAGAGACAATCTGACCAAAGAATTTTTCAGTGTCAGGGAGGTGAAAAAAAAAAAAAAAGCCAAAACAAAACACAGTAACAGGGGGAGAGGGGATTGAGCACAGTCCCGTCCCCAGCACCTACTGCTGGCAACACCTCCTGTTCCGGCTGTGGGACCACACTCAAATCGATCATTAAAGAGCAAAACTTAAACAGGAATACACAAACACTCCAGGACAGCTTCCCTACCGCACAGGACGTTCTGTTATCTTCAGGACGTTCTGTTAGCTTCCGCACCTGATTTTCACAAATTCTTTCTGGGTCAGAGAGATGATAAAAACGGACGGCTCCAAGTACATGACGAGATCTTTGCTGTGCCTGAGGACGCTAAAGCACACTTGGCAGAATATTTAACTAAAGAACGCTGTTCTGCAGTAGTTTATATCAATGCAGCAAGCAAGACTCTGGTTCAAGAGCAATTAAATGTTTTAATTGGCTCCTGCTATGGAAGCAGCAACCTCTGGCAGGTAAGCAGGGCAGGTTTCCACTGCCCCTCCTCTCCAGGAGCTCGTTTGGACTAAATCCTCTTTCCAACCAGCGCTTCCCTCCCTTCTTACCACTGGCAAAATCTCGAATTCATGTTCACAACCAATTTGCAAGAAGCCTTCTAATTTTTTTTTTTTTTTGAGATGTCAGATGCAGCATCAAATATTTCCCCCTTTTATTTGACAAGTGCGATTCCGCTCGAGCTGCTCGTGTCGATGCTGCATAATAAACAAAACGAGCGATCGCAGCACGGCGCAGAACCATCGAGCGCTAACGAGAGGCGGGGAAGCTTTGATCCCTCGTTGTCCACAGCCAGTTGTCCTGTGGCATCTTGCCGCTCGCTTTCTGCATTTGGGATCTCTGCTCGACGCAAGATTAAGGTTTCACCCCGTCCGTGCCAGTCCAGGTGCCTTGCAGAGGGTGCTGCTGCTCCTCTTCACGGCGAGCAGGTGACTGTGCCGCCAAATATTCTCGGCACTCACATGCGAACAGGCCAGTTGACCATCAGCTCCGTGTGCCTCCAGCTCTGCAGCTCAGGAGAACAGACCTGATCCCCGACGGTCCCAACTGCTGCTCCCACGGCATCTCAGCAAAATGCAAAGGAAACTTCCGCTGTTCTCCCCCTTCTCCAGGCCCATGAAAATACGTTTTCTTCAGGCTTAACTTGGGTGCAACAGAACCAAGCTGAAGACAGAGGGAACTTCCATGCTACCCGCAAAGTCCTTGCCCACCTCCAAAACAGCCTGAGCCTTCTTTCAATCATCCGAGCGAAAAGAAATATGAAAGAAAGGAAGCGTGGCTATCACTACAGCCTAAAAACCGGCAAGTTTTAGCAGAAAGAGCGTAAAGCAGGCACTTTTCACTGCGGTGCCAAAGACAGCCACCTCCCCGATAACAGATGTCATTTCTGACACTAGCAGGGCCGAGAGGCAAACGCAAGACGACGCAGTCTAGTGTTAAATTTGCTTTAGTATCTAAACCCTATCAGAATAAATAGAGCATTAAGTTATAAATGAAGGGAAAAAAAAGAAAAAAAACATACGAAGACTTAAATAGCAGCTGCTGGAGGGTTTCTGCTATTCAGCTGTCATCAAAACAAGGGAATTCGGGAGGATCAGTGCTCTCCCTAAGCCAGAGGAGCTGCCGGGTTCTCACTGGTAGCCTTGGGAAAGGACTGCAATACTGAGCCCACTGAAGACAACAAACATCACCTACATAAACACGTTTCACAATTATTACACAGCAACAAATGCTTCAAACCAGATGGAGACATAACTTAGTCGGTACTCGTTTTAAAACCATAATGGAAAGGGGAGAAAAAAAAGGTGAGAAAAACCCATGTTTTTATATTTCTGCAGGTACTAAGTTCACGTGTAAGTACGTGGTAGCCTAAAAAACCTCCCAAAACAACTGCCAGAATAAATCACAGCACTCCACTGCTTTTCAGACAAGTCAGCTGATTAGAAGTATTGCATCTATTCATCTGTCAAAAGGACTTTTTTCTGTGCCCGAGCATCTAAATAGGTACACAAAGTAATTACGGTCACATGCAGTCACGCTGGAAACGCGTGGCTTTCATGCACCGTGGCTGAACCACCGAGGATGAGGTGAGCAAATGAAGAGAGCAGAGAGGAAACGCTCCAAAAATTCCCTAAAAAGAAAACAACCTACCACGAAGGGGAATGCAAGGAAGCAAATACCTCTCCGTATAAAAATTTTGGTTCAGAGGCATCGGAACGCTGGCATCGAAATCCCTGAAGTTCAAATAATTGCAGCACCCCAAGCAGGGACAGGAGGGCTGGCTGCTGAGCTGCTCCACTTTTGAGGCAGAGCAATTTGCTTCCCTTAAAGCTTTCATCTGAGCGATTTTCTATTTCAGATGTGGCTCTTCACGGGGGGAAGGCGATAACAGTCGTGTGTTTATGTACTCCCGCAATTTGCTGGGGAAAACCCTTTCTGTCCCCTTTTCCCTGCAGTTTCCACCTTGGGCTGCTGACTGCGCTAAGGAAAACAAAAATAAAAAAATAACCACACTGCCAACAAAACAAACAAAAAAAAAGTTATTCTTAGATCAGCTCCCCAGCTGGTTAATAAACACTGAGCCCGCTGCGTAACACGACTCCCTCGGTACTGACTGTGCTGGGAATAAACAGGCAAAGTACACACATCAGGTTCCGAAAAAGCTGACTCACGCAGCTCTCTGCCTCCCGCAGCCAGTGGAAATTTTTTTTTTGGACCAAACCTTTCCAATCTCCCCCCTGCAGAAAGGTGTTGCTTGCTGAGTTTTCTGCCCTGGGCAGCGCCGTTGGGTTTGGCGTGGGAAGGGGTTAAGCCCCGTTGTCGCTTCTTGAATCCTCTCTTGACTCAGGGAAGAGCTTGGGCTGCGTCTATATTTACCGAAGTTACATACGAGGAGGAGCGATGGTCTTGTAGTTCCAACACATGACCGTGACTCAGGAACCTGCCGCTCTGGCACCATCGCTGTCACCGTGACCTTGGGCGAGAAAACCTCTGGATTTCCAGTTACTTCCCAGT